TTTTTATCGTTAAAAGAAATCCTAAGAATCTCACTAAAAGATTAGATAATTAAAACATAAAACTAACACAACTAACCCAAAACAAGTCTATCAACTTTAAAAATATGGAGTTTCTTCATATGAACTTATTTTATATTGAAAGTCTCCCCATCATCATTATTGGCATTGATCATCAAAAAAAGGAAAGCCACAAATGAGAGTGCTAGATAAGAATTAACAAAACTACCATTGGAAATTATGCAAGGTATTGATAGTTTTATCTATACATTGAGCACATCGAGACTAGTATGTCATTGATATGTGAACTAAGAGTAGATTTATTTAGGTGATGTGAGTCCTCTTTCTTATGTTGAGTTTCAGTCTTCTTCCCTATATTGAGTCTTGTCTTCTTATGTCGAGCTTCCTCCATTTTCATTAGAAGTGATAAATTCCTTGTTCAAACTTCAAGAGATTTGTGCTGATAAATGTAGGTATCTATCTCCTCTTAGAAGCCAAACTAAATTAGTGCCCTTAATTTTGTATATATATTTTGACTTTGGAGTGCCCCACATTGATCTAAGGAATAAATAAAATTGCATGCTTATATTAGTCTTATGAGTTTGCATTTTCCTTTGCCCAAAGTGTGCATGATTTAGGAGAAATTCAACAAAGCTTACTCTAAATTATGGATAAGTTCAAAAAACATATTGTCATTCATAGATTATACATAGAATTCAACGAAAGTAATAAGCATGAAGTGTTGAGACAAGAATGGATAATTTGATGGACAGTTGAACCTACTATTCATTCTAAAGAACATTCACCATATTTTAAAATATATTTTTTTAAATAAGTTTTTCAACTTCATAAAAAAAACCAACAAGCCATAAAATTTCATCAAACAAGAAACTAAATATACACATATGCTAAGATGTATAAACATAAAACTAGAAATACTACATCTACTACATAGCCAACATGTTTATACATGTCTAAGGATATGAACTACTAAATTATGCATATGCTATCTATATAACCAACTAATAGGTATATAACTCAACGAGTATATCAGAATTATAAATAATAATGAACACAATAGGGTAAGAAACAAAAAGTATGCTAATCATTACACATTGTATAAGCTTTTCTAAAAATATGGCATTTAGAATAACAATCAACATCATGGCAAAGAAAGTAAAGTGGTTATAACAAATGTCATAACATTTGAAGTCATAAACATAATTATAGTGTTTAAATATCATTGTCAACATCATCATCATCTTCTTCGTAAAACTTAACATAAAGTCACATAACTGTTGAATTACATTATGGATAATACCATGTCAAAGCTTTTGATTTAAAAGGTAATAAATTATACACTTTATCTTTAGAGCCCTAGAACTTAACACCCATCATTGTCAACATTTTCCATCAACACAAGTGGGGTGTAATTCCTACATCTACTGCTTTCACTAGCAAGAAGATATATATTTAACACAAAACTGATTGATACATACCCCATTAGCAAAAGCATGCATAGTTCATATATTTACAATTCTCAATGCTAACAAGTTAGAGCCATCAATTCAAAAATATATTAGCATCCAAGCTAGCACCATCAAAATACACATGTAAACATTCATAAATATATTTATCTTTATTTCCATACATCCTTTCGTATGCTTAAAATTTTAACCACTTAAATTTTCTTACTAATGATCCAACTAATCTTCATGCTCGATAATCTAAAAAACATAAATCACCTTACTTTATCAACAATTCCCTATAACTCATAGGTACCTCACCATATAAGATTTGGATAGTGTCGGAAACCTTGCCTAATCTATACATATATGTGCAAAAATGAATAAGACTACATGAATAGCTATAGGCTATGAATACTTAGTAAACACATAATAAATTTAATATGAAGGAGTACTACAAGAAAATATAGGATTTAAGATTTACTATAATCTAAAATAGGATAATGTCCTACATTGAGTATGTCAATTTTCATAACTGGTTTGACATATAAATTAATCCCCAAGATTTTCAGATCTAAAGTTCTCTCTAGCTATCTCTTTCTTCCCCTCTCCCTTGAGCCGCAGTAGGGAAAAGGATAAGCTAAGGATAATTAGGTCAGTTTTCAATTTCATCATGCAATGATAATTCAAGTAGCAAAAATAATTGATGCTCAGATCAATATAATGCTCCTAAAATTATGAAAAAAAATTGAATACTATATTTAGTCATTAATACTCAAGTGAACATATTTTACCTAACAAAGTGCAATCATACTATTATGTTATTAGATCATTTCACAATTCAATAGATTGTACCTAGTCTATTTACCTAATCATATAGATGATTCTGGAAGTTCCCTCACTCCCTCCTATTGGTGAAGACATAGATGACCATGATGCACCTAATGAATTTGATGGGCGCATTTTGAGTGATTGCATTGTGGTGGACAAGAGATTCAAAACCCTATTATATATATATATATATATATATATATCATCACTATCATGTCTTCATCATGCTTCAAATAGGGCGGCCCAGATGACTACTATTCTCTCTTTTATTTCTTTATTGTACAATTGGATGGTCCTTCCTTTGATTTCATGCTTTATATAATCGATCTTTGTATCTATATTTTTTGGCTTATACTCATATCATTCTTCTTATAAAATTGTGCTTTTGATAATTAAAGATGTAGACTAAGAATTAACGAAATCTTTCATCATCCATTACAAAATCAGTATATAATAATTCACGAAAACCCTAATCCTACTTATGATGAAAAGGTTCAAATCTTGGAGATGAGAACAAATAAGGGATTCACAACAGCAATGTTTACTGTCATAAGAAATATCAATCAAATAAATGATATCAGCAATATTTAGTTCAGATGAATTTATTTGGTTCAATTTAGCTATCTGATTTAGAGGCTGGTATAGTTCTATAGTTTATTGTTTTCAACTGGATCTTCACCGATCATGCAGCTTGTTGTTTTTAATTGGGCTAGTTTGCAATGTTTAGTTAGAATATGCACTAGTTATGTAGTTTTACTTTTAGCTTTTAATGGACTGTTAGTTTATGATTTCAAGGACTTTAGATCAATGGAAGGAGCTATTATTCTGTGCGGAAACCGGACGGTCGTTCGGGTACCGCTCGGTATCGAGCGCGGTAATTTTTTGGGTGACGTGGCACATTTTTATTGGTCTCCAGATGCCCTCCAAACTCCGCACAGAATAATAAATCCAATGGAAGACATGTATGAGTATATTGCTATTTTTTGTACTTATCCTGTGCTACTCTGTTACTGAATTTGTCTTTGGCTTTTATGCCATGTGGATTTACATGAGAATATTTGTGCTTATCCAGTATATTTAATTCCAAGTGGATATACCTACTACCAATTCTATTGTTCTTTGGATGCATATGAGGCTTTTGTTGCTATCTTGTAGTCCTATGGCTCCTGTATCTGTAGTTGGACTTATCTGTTGTTTAAGCGTTCCCCTATAAAAGAGCTAGTTTTCATCTTTGAATCATTTTGAAATAATTGCAAGATTTGGATTATCTGTTGGCTTAGCTTCACTGCTAAGGCTTTAGGTTCTTTGTTGCCAATTGAATCACACCTCTGAGCTCCATCAACGATTCTGCGAGGCCCACTTCTCTTCATTGCTTAAATTTCTCGTCAATTCTTCATTTTTTTATCATGGAGACATAAAAGAAGCAAAGAGACATCCAGAAAGCAAGGAGAAGCCAAAAAATAAGAAGAAAATTTGAGGAGGAAGATCAAGAAAGGAGATCAAAGAATTCTACAACAAGGAGTCACCAAGAAGTTGAGTGAAGTTCCATAAAAACTAGTTTGTGATCTCTCAATGTTCCATGAATTCTTCAATGGGATATCTCAATTTATCATTGGAGCAAGGAGAAAAAGGAACCAAATGCAAATGAAATGCAAAAAAAAATAAAAAACCAACCCAGAGTGATTCAATAACATGTTATAGTTTGTAATATACATCATTGACAAACTATAGAGACCCAAAAAATATAGTAATAACTAATAACGAAAATGACAAAGAACAATAAATAACGAGGAGTAAGAGGCTTAATCATCCCATTTGCCTCCCAAAGCTCCTTATAAGAGGTATTATTGGCCTGTTCTTCTACATAATTTCCATTCTATAAGTACACTTGTCATTTTTTATCCAAATCTCAAGAAGAGTGGTCGAGGGAAATAGATAAATTTGTTCTAAAATTATCCATAATGCCCTCATAGTTGGGCTACAATCAAGATGATTCCTCATCATGTCATGATTATTTGACAAGTTTTACGCTGGATGACGACTACCTAACGCAAACCTCCACGTTTCTCATTCAGAACTTGAGACCTGGTGGGATCTGGCAACGAATATTGGAACTCAAAGATGACAACACCACCTTCTAAAATCTACTAGGCAATAAAATTTTGAATTGGTTTATTTGGTTGCAGGCTTGCACTTAACTGAGATGACTTACACTTTGATTTTCTCTCAAAAAACATCAAAGTCAACTCAAAATAAAGCAACCATGTTTGTTGATCTGGGGCCAGGAGTTGCTGATGAGGTAGGCAAAGGTGGGGTGGGGAGAGGAGAGATGTTCTCTCCAAATCCATAAAAGTCAACACAGGACAAACCACCAATTTTGGTTTATACATGTTAGTTGATCTGCATGGACACCTCATGATCTTAAAACTAATCAACTTGAAGTGCAATCAAAAGAATACAAATCCACACAAAGATTTTTTGAATGGGGAAGATAAAGACAAAGCCAGTTCGAGCGGGGAGAAGGAAATACACAGCAATTCAAAAAGCTTTCTAAAACAAAACTATTTAATACTGTTTTAAACTTCCTCTCCTTCATTCTTTAGAAGATCTGAATTTCAAGATCAGATCTACTCCAAATATAATCCAATGTACGGAAGTAACCAGGCTTTCCAGTGAAAGATAGCAACTAAAACTAAAACAACAGAATTAGAAATTGCCTGGTCACACATGGGATGGAAAATAACACAATTTTCAGTTCTTGGTCTGGTTCAATATAACCAAGTATATCGAAAAACAAAGGGAAAAAAGCTAAGTATATGGAAAATTTGCTCACAATATGAAGAGAAGTCACACAATATTGGATTCTGTTTAGCACTTAAAAGATATGATGAGGCAGTGTGAACACTCTACAAAGCATGCACAGACCTATTCACTCTTCCAGGCATACAAAATCAATGAGAAACTAAGGCGCCGGAGCTGAGGTTCAGCCAACATTTGGGAGGAACCCCACTGCAATGATTTCTCAGTTGAAATAATAGTTTGGAACATGAAGACTGCACTGCCCATGGATGCATCAAAAAGCCAGTTGTGCACATCCCAGAAAACCTCAACAGGCAACCCATCAACGAGAATTGTCTGGTTTCCTCTAAATTTCCATAGGAGCCTCTTCACCATCATCACCCGCTTCTTATCGATGCGGATCTCAAGGCAAGGATCCTTCAACCCAATTGTATCACACTCTATCAATATGTCATGAACTTGGCCTTTGTCAGAGAATTGAGCCTTGGTGCAGTAGATCTTCTTGCCAAATATGTGCTCCTTCTTGGCTACAAACATGGCATTATAAGGAGAAGGGCCTGCATTGGTCTTTTTATATGCTTCTTTGATTAGATCACCAAGAAGAAGAACTATCTGGAAATCAAAGAGAACTGCAACATAGAATCCTTCTACTGGTTCAGGCCCAGAACCAAACTTTGCATTAGAGAGATCCCAGAAGACATCTACCTTGCTTTTTTCGGTCTCCATGTTCTTCGAACCTTTTCTTTTGGAGAACAGCCATGGCTTTATGTCCACCTTACAGAGAGACTGGTTGTTGGAATCATCAACTCCGATGCTGAGACCCTGGCCCATCATGTTCTTGCTCCATGTGATGGAGATCACACAAGAGCTGCCACAGAGCTGTGTGCTATAGAGGCAAGTAACAAGATTCTGAGAAGTTTTGCCTGAATTGGACGAGGCATCGGCCACTTGAACTCCGCTTTCACCAAAACAGGAAGGAAAATCCCTCATCCTGATGACACAGATCCAATTGAGAGGTCTGGCTCAAAACTACCAGGCTGGATCAAATGGACTTAGAATCAGAAACACATAAACCTAATTCTCCATACAGATCTACTATTCTCCAAAGCTGCAGTAGAGACCAGCAGATTCTCGGAAGAAACGGTCAATAATGGGATAACGAACGAGAAAATTACGCCATTCAACCAAACAAGAAGAGACCAAATCAAACAAAATACGAATATTCATAAATTACAGAGCCAAACTTCATCTCCCAAAGAGGCCAAGAATCAAAAAGATTTTGATGAAACTCGAAGAAAGCAGCGAACTTTCGCCACAAAAACCAAACTTTACAAAAGCTAAACAAAAACCAGATACAGGTTCAGAGAACGTGAAGAGACAGGAGCAAGGAGGAGGAAGAGAGAAAACAAACAATGAAGGAAAGCAGACAAACAGGAGCTAGTTTCTATCAGGTAGCTACATCCACATCATCTACTTAAATAACCAGGCCAAGTGAAACGCAGCGCGCGCGCGAGAGAGAGAGAAACAGGGTAAAGAAGAAGGCACATGGAAGGGCAAAAGCCTAAGGCCTAAGGAACCTCCTGCAAAAACTTAAAAAGATCTGAACTTTACCTAGCGACGCCCACATGCACGGTCAAACAGAAAAAAAAAACATCCAAATTCAATCCCTGGACAGATTCCAAGCTGGAAAAAAGCATCAAAGGATCGTCGGGTCTCTCTCTTCAACCCAAATTGAGCTGCAAGCTCAAACAATAGTGACAAATAATCAATTTCAAGCCTCAAAAAAGGCAGTCCTCTGGATTCAGATGTGTAAGAAAGATAAAAATTCTACCTAAGAAGTAAATCCCCCAAGTATTAAATATTGGATTAATTATAACGATATGTAGCGGAAATTGCGGCCGGGAATGAACTGATCCATTTGCAAAAAGGCATTAAATGAGAAAGAAAAAAGTGAACCGTTAATTATCTTTAAATGACTTAGTAAAGTTGCCCAGCTGTTCAGATAATTACCGATTTAATAGTTTTTATTTGGCAAAATTATAAAAAGAGCAAGTTTTAAAACTAATTAAGTAAAAAAGCGTAATAAAAAGGAATTTAAAAAAAAAACGTAAACCTCAAATATTTTCAATCTTGTACATACTTGAAAATATTTTAAACTGTTAAATATTTTCACATATTTTTTAAAAATTTCTTTATTGCATTTTATTTTATTTTTTATTTTAAATGTAAAATGTATTTAATGAAAAAAATCATGAAATGATTACATATTTTATCAAAAATATTTTTAATTATCTTTAAATTTGATATGATTAATATATAAAAAAATGAATTTAAATAATAAAATAATGCATATAAATTTTAAAGTAACACAAAAAATATGATTATTGTTTTTTGTTATATTGGAAAAAAATTTATGAAGTTTATAAGTTTTTCAAAAATTAACTATATGTTTTATAAGTTCTACATATAACATCAATAATAACAGTATTCAGTCCTTTATCCTCCCCCTATGTGGGTCGGCTACATGAATCTTTTTTCTCCATTGTGCAATGCTTTATGGGTCATTTCTAATATTTTTTAACCAAGTCTTTTTAGGCCTACCTCTACCTTTTTTAACATAAGTCAAATCTAATACATCTACTTTCCTAATCAGGTCATTAGAAGGCTATCATTTCATGTGACCAAACCATCTAAGGCAGCTCTCTTTAATCTTATCTTCCACTGGACTACTTTAACTTTTTCATGTATATGCTCATTTCGTATCTTGTCTCTAAAAGTAAAGCTACTCATCCACCTGAGCATCCTCATCTTTGCAACACTTAACTTAATATCATGCTTCTCTTTTAATGGCCAACATTCTGCACCATAAAGCATTGCAAATCTAACCACCATCTTATAGAAGTTTCCATTATGTTTTTTTAGGACTTATCTATCACATAACAAGCCTGGTGCATTCCTCTACTTCAACCACCCAACTTGAAATATACTAATAATATCTCTATTTATTTCACCATCACTCTGAACAATAAATCCAAGATATTTAAAATGCGTACTCTTATTAATGACTTGATCACCCAAGGTCATTATCCCCCACTAGAACTATTATTGCTAAAATTACACTCAATATATTTATTTTTAGATATACTCAAACGAAAACCTTTAAACTCTAAGGCTGACCTTCATAATTCAAGTTTACCTTCAACTCCCTCTCTAGTCTTATCAACAAGAAGAATATCATCAGCAAAAAGCATATACTAAGGTACAACTTCTTGCAAATGTCTAGTGAGAACAACCATAACTAAAGCAAAAAAGATATGGGCTTAAGCTAATCCTTGATGTAATCCAACTAATTAAATAGGAAAATATTTGATCAAATCACCTTGTGTCTGAACACAAGTAACAGCTCCTACATACATATCCTTAATGACTTTAATATATGCATTATTAAACCCATTCTTTTCTACTCTCCATAACACTTCTCTTGGAACTTTATCATATGCTTTCTACAAATCAATAAATATCATATGTAGATCCTCCTTATTCTCTCTATACTTTTCCATCAAACCTCTCAATAAATGTGTAGCTTCCATAGTAGACTTACTCGGCATAAATCAAAATTGATTTTGAGAAACGTTAGTATTACGCCTCAACCAATGTTCCATAACTCTCTCCCATAGTTTTAAAGTATGACACATAATACATCACTGAAAATTCATCTTGATCGGGCATGAATCTCAATGCAAATATGAGGTTGAGGCTTCCAAAATCAAAATTAGGACCATCTAAATTCTGATTTCAATAAACTGATAGTCAAATTGAAGATCTTGGAGGGATGAGCCAACGACATGAAAATTGATCTAATCTGAGCTCAAATGGACTCAAATCAAAGGATAAAAGCATTTTTGGAAGCTTCAGAGCATTATTGGATTTCCAAATGATACCCAAAGAGATCTTCTTCTCAAAACTTCCCTCAAATAAACCTTGACGCATGGTGGAACTCAAGTGCAAGTTCGTTGGAGCAATCGTGTGAAATATCTCTCACACTTCATTGAAACTCACAAGGTTCTTCTCTCTCTCTCATAAACTTCACCCTTTCTCTCCCATGCTCTAGGCTCTCTCGTCAAGCTTTCTTCATAAGAAATAATTCAATGAATGGCAAAAAGACTCATACAAAGTCTTATGAGAAAATTTAAATAGAGGGCTTCAAGAAATCCTAATTACTCAAATATATCGACTCTAATCTTATATTATGGTACGATTAGTTCAAAATATCCCTTAGTACTGTACGAAGAGTAAGGAGCTGTACGATCAGTTTTAATTAAGCTGATCATCCAGTATGATTAGTACAATCAAATTGGATTATCGTCCTATACGATTAGCGATGACAAAATATCGTACCATATAAAAATCGGGTCATACATTACGATTTGTCCAATCATACATTAAGATTTTATTGGACCAATTAAACCAAATTTGATCCCTTATTACATGATTAATTTAGGCAAGATTTAATTATATCATATAATAGGATACCCATCATACGGTATGATGAGTACATAATTTGTATTTCAAAATACTGTCTAAATTATGATTGACGGCTAATATCATGATTTCAACTGATTGTCCTATACGACCAAGATCATCCAGTATGATTAATTCAAATAGCTTTAGTTATATAATTAGCCATTTTAATGATTTTCTAAGTAGTTGATCGTACAGTATGATACCTATTGTACAATACGATTAGTTCAGAAAATTACTCTTCCGATTTTTCTCTCTATCTCATTCCCATAAGTGTATGTATGTGTGGTCACCATGCTAGCATATACCTTTACAAGATTAGACTCAAGAAATTGAAAAAATTATATAAATGAATTTTATAGTCTATGTCACCATATCATATTCTACCCAGCCTTGAGCCTTGAATCTTCATTGAATGGTGCACGGCATACCTAAAATATTAGTACACACAAAAGCAAATACATAGTACAAATGCTAGGAGACACAAAGATGCAATCATTAATGTTTGTTGTCATTAAAATCATAAACTCAGAAGCCCGAGTTGCAATACTTTTACCCAGCACAGATTCTGCATGTTGAATCTCATGTTTCTATCTTTCATGGAGACATAAGTTACTCATTCTAAGAATATATCTCATATTTCATTATTGAGTTTTCATTAAAACTCCATCAATTATATCAAAATATATCTCACATTTATGATTTGTTTGGGATACCTACAGACTTCTATAAAAGTGATTGTAAAGTTGTTGAGGAAAAATTAACTTTTTAATTAAGTTTTCTATCAATGTTATAAATATTATTAAAAAAAATCGAACAACTAGTTTTTAAAAGCTACAAAATATTAGAAACTCTGGTTGTTTATAAGTTTATGAAAAAAAATAGCAGTGAAACAAAACTATATTTGTGATCTGAAGAGCAAAGCAGTGTGATGGCTATCCCAAAATGACCATTAATCTAATCTTTTACTTTCTGTAGTCCAATAATTTCTCCTTTTTATATAAAAATTGATTAATTCCACCCTTCTTTTTCTAGACTTCCATATGATTTTAAGAACATATTAGAAGATGCTCCAGCTATGCACATACTAGTCGTACGTATTTTGCTCACCCTCAAAGGTGAGATTGGTTATGCCCTTAGTTGTGGCTAATTATTAGAGTAAAAGAAAAAGTAGAGTCAATTAAATGTGTTAATAACAATATATAATTATATTTAAAAGAGAAAAAAAATTTATATTAGGATATGTAGATATAAATTATATCAGAATGACTTTAAAAATTATTTAATTTTTTATTTTAAATTAATGTTATTTATTTAAAAAAAAAATCTATTACACTAACCTCAAAAAAATTTTAATAAAATTTTAACTCATCTGAGATAATTCATATCAATAATCATGAAATGCTTTTTTTTTCTTTTTTTTTTTTGGGTGAACCCACGGTGGGGCCTACGCGTTAATCATGATAAGAAGTACATGTTCTTAGAGGATTAGAAGCTCACTGAGAGAACAACATTTGAAATAAAACTTAAGAGCTTTAGATCCTGCCTAATACAAGAAAAGAAAAGACAAAACAAGAAAAGGCTAAACCCAAACTGCCCGAAAATAACTTCAAGTAGAGGAAAGAAACAATCCAGCAGTCACTATCATAACTAGAGCAAAAGAGACATCCAAATCTGAAGACCAGAGATCCAAAAAGTGGCACCACAGCAACAACCCCAAGGCTCCAAAGCAGCAACCACCAAGCCAACCACAAAAAAGCTATTTTTGGATTTCCTCTTTCTTCGTTTACCTATCCGAATGATAAGATCTCGCATACCACCATCCTGTTCAAACACTTCCTATTCCCCAACATCAGAAGGAGAAGATGATGAGCATTCAAGCCAATTAATTTGCGCCTTAACATTTTTCCTCGAGCTGACGCCCACTTGAGCATACAAGGCATTAGCTAGCAAAAACTAAAGCAACTGAAACATCAACAAGCTACTCATTCACTCCCAATCCCACAGAGGAAATTGATACAACCAGATTAACTGGCATCACATGAAAAGCAACAGAAGGATCCAACTCACTAGACTTAATATTCACCGCCCTCATATTCATAGCACAAAGTTCATTATCACTCACATTCATCAACTTATTACCAAATTACCTTGATCTACATAAAAGTTATTCGAAGAAGGGTCAACAGCCACAATACCATGAGACACATTACATTCATGCGGGGATCCATCAAGCCCATCAACCAGGGGCACAACCTCTACCACAACATCATTTAGAGCAGAACCATTGTAAAGAACCCCAACCTCAACCGATGAATCCAAAGTACCCAAAGGGAAAACAACATCAGGCCTCAAAGGAATA